GTCGATTGAGCACTTGAAGAAGACGTTTGGTTTCCTTCGGTTGTCAGCTTACGAACTCACAATAACTTCGTCTTAAGATTGTAGTTTGTGTTGTTTGTGAACATCAAAAAACGGCTTGAGGAAATTGAAGAAAACGAAACAAAAATTAAAGTCGAGACACGTAATAATTACGTTCTCCTTAAGATGAAATTGTCCCGTAAAATACCAATGATTAATGGAAAACGCCTCCAAGATACAACAACTTTGGACTTGTATATAGCGGTACTTCAAATATACAAGCCTTCAACGAACACTACTATTGTTTGGAACTTTCAAGACTCAATGAAGAAGTCAAAGAACACAATATGCTATATGATTTTTCAAAAGTAATGCAAGAGCTCTCTAATTTTCAAGTTATGAATGATTTCAAGTATGTGGGTATTTATAGATGTAAGAAACACCTCCAAGAGGTTTAAGTGCAAAAAAGCCACCTTTTGGGACGTACTCGAATGAGAATGGACACATTTAGAGGCTAAAAGACACCTTATAGTCACCAAAGGTTGTGACCTTTTGGTTTGCGCAGGCAGGTGCGCGCCCGTGCGCCGCGGGCTCGTACAAGCTCATACGGACTCGGGATTGAGTTTCGTTTTTCCTCATCCCCAACGAACCCTTCTACAATTTTAGCATACATAATGCATGATTATAACTCGTTTAGATTATACAAACATTCTTCAAAGACAGTATGTTTTACAAATTCAATAATTTGAGTTACTTAAACTTATTGTTTCAACCTTACATTTCCCAAATATACAACTTAGAACTAATTTCTCATTCACCTTAAAATGGTTTTAAGAATTTCCTAAGTCTTCCACTTACGAAAAATAGAACCGTAAAATCGGTACAAAACTAATTTTTCTTACATCTTTTTTGTTTTTCCCCTGCTTTTACTTTGCTTATTGTTTTTCCCTTATTTTTACTTTGCTTATTTTGACAAATCCGATTGCCAACACATTTTTTTTGTGCATTTTTTGTTGCAAATTTGAAAGCAAAATATTGTTTAGGATTGTAAGAAATAGGGGAAAGCGGGTGCGGTTCTATGCACGTGAACGCACTATAAGTAGGGAAAGCTCAGATGAAGCTCAAGTGAGATTCCATCCCAAAACCAATTGGTTGAAGGAGAAGTAGTCCAACAAACTTATAAATTAGATTTATTTTCCCTATATAAACGATGTGGGACAACTCACAAGTGAATATTCTAATACGCCCGCCCCCTCACTTGTGAGTCCTTCATAAGAAGTCCAAGCCCATATACGGAGCCGGGTGCCCAAGCCCTACTAGAAACAGGCTGGGTAAACGTGTACGTCATCGCACGGTCCCAATAGAACCATGTATCAGTAAACGGGTACGTCATTGCACGGTCTCAATAGAACCAACTCTGATATCATGTAAGAAATTAGGAGAAAACGGGTGTTGGATAAATGGGTACGTCATCACACAGTCCTAATAGAACAAGCTCTAATACCATGTAAGAAATGGGGGGAAAATGGGTATGTCATCGCACGGTCTTAATAGAACCAGCTCTGATACCATGTAAGAAATGGGAGAATATAACCAGGCATCAGTAAACGGGTACGTCATTGCACGGTCCTAATAGAACCAACTCTGATACCATGTAAAAAACGGGGAGAAAAAAGGTGTTAAGTAAACGGATACGTTATCGCAAGATCCCAATAGAACCAGCTCTGATACCAAGTAAGAAACGGGAGAAAAACGGATACGTCATCGCACGGTCTTAATAGAACAACTCTAATACCACGTAAGAAATGGGGAAAAACAGGTGCGGTCCCACGCACATGAAGCACACCATAAGTAGGGAAAGTTCAGATGAACCCCAAGTGAGACTCTATCCCAAAACCAATTCGTTGAAGGAGTAGCCCACTAGACTTATAAATAAAGTCTATTTTCTCAATGTAAACGATGTGAGACAACTCACAAATAAATATTCTAATAAGGTTGAAAAATTCAAATTCGTACAAAAAACGTTGTACTCGAGCCACCTATTTGTCTTGTAAGGCCTCGTTTACTAGTGTTGATATGATATGATAAGGTTGGTTAACCAACCTTATCATATGTTTACTAGGTTGGTTAAGAAAAATGACTAGTCTGATGTGGCATGTGGGTCTCCCTTCATTCATATGATGTGGAGGGATTGTTTTGTCCTCCCATTTTGGGGGGATATTTTTATCCCCAAGTTTGAGTTCCAATTTTTGGCGGATATTTATAAAATATTAATTTAAATATTTTTTATTTAATTAAAAATAATATTATATATAATCTAAAATAATTTTATTTAATTTAAAAATATTATTTAATTATTAAAGTATTAATTTAATTAATTTGATTTAATTTAAAAAACATTGTTTAATATAAAAATAATATAATTTAACTTAAAATTAGATTATTTAATTTATTAAAAAATAAAATAATTTTATTTAATTTAAAATACTTTTATTTAATTCAAAATAATATTATTTAATCTAAAATATTTTACTTAATTTAAACTAATATTATTTATCTATAAAATATTAAATTAAATAATTTTGTTAAATTTAAAAATTTTAATTTAATTTAAAATAACATTATTCAATTTATAAAATTTTAATTTAAATAATTTATGTTTTTTAAAATACTTTTATTTAATTCAAAATAATATTATTTAATCTAAATATTTTATTTACTTTAAAATAATATTATTTAATCTATAAAATATTAATTTAAATAATTTTGATTAATATAAAAAATATTTTTTCATATAAATAATTTAATTTAATTTAATATAACATTATTTAATTTATGAAAAATCGCTCTCGACCTCTCTGCCCTAAATCGCCCAAACCTCGCCGCCGTTTTGCGCCCTCTTGCCTTCCCCAGCGAATAGCCGGCGCTCTTGCCGGCGAATGACTCATGGCCGCACTCCTCTCCCCCGATTGTGTGTTGTCCCTTCTGGACTCGAACCGTCGAAGGCTTGAGGGTTTTTTCGGATGGGTTGCGCCGCTCTGGTTGCTTGTCGTGCGGAGGTTCTCCGACCGCTCGGGTGGTTTGGGTGTTTGGAGGGTGGTGTGTGATTGGGGTTGGGAGTGGGCCCTGGCCGCTTGCCGTCGTTGGCGGTGAGTCGGCCTGGGTGGTTGAGCGTGGCCAGATTTCCTCGTTTCTCCGATTCTCTGGTGTGTTGGTCGGGGAAGACCGACACCTCCGAGCCTGTTTCCAGTGGTGTTGGGGCGGTCCGGGGTTGTGATGTGTGGGGGGGTCTAGTTTGCGTTTTGGTTCGGCTGTGGGTCGACCTCTTTCTCGTGATGGTGCAGGGCTTGTGATTCGGCTTCAGCTAGGCCTTTTGGCAGTTCCGGGAGTGGGGTCCTGGCCTATGAACCTTGCCGTGGGAGGGTTGGCCTTTGTTCTGCTGGTGCCTCGTGTAGGGCTCGGTTTTGTTCTGCTGGGGAAGGGTTATGTCTGTCGTTATTTTTTAGTTGTTTCGGTTCTTTTATTTTGTTGTGTTTGCGTCTTTTGTGTTTTGCTCCTTGTTTCGTGTTGTTTGTTGTGTGTTGGGTCTATGTGTTGTTAGTGTTTGTTTTTGTTGTTGTGTAAAAGTTTGGCTCCTGTTGGCCCGAGTGTACCTTAATTCTCCTGTTGGGAGCACACTCGGGCATTTTCCTGTTGGGAGTATTTTTTGTTGTTTTGTGGTGTGATTTGTGGTTGTTTAATGTTTTGGTGTGGTTGTTATTCTAGTATTGCTAGTAGTGTTTTGTCTAGGTTGCATCAGTGGGGTTGTAACCTATCATTCCTGGGTTCCGAGCCTATCTTTTGTACTTTGTCTTTTAGCATTTTTAATGAGATCGTTTATGTCGGAAAAAAAATGTATATAAATTTAGAAGATTATATACAATTTATAACAATTTTATTTAACTTGAAATAATATTATTTAATCTATAAAATATTAATTTAAATAATTTTATTAAATCTAAATATTGTTTTATAATATTTTCTTTAATTCAAAATAATATATTTAATTTATAAAAATATTAATTTAATTAATTAGATCAATAATTTAATGTATTTATCAAGACATTTATCCTCTTTAGTAAACATGGGACAATTTATATCTAAAATCTGATGTGACAAAATAGAGGGATTAATTTGTCCAATCTCATCATCTCTAGTAAACGAGGCCTAATAATATCTATGTATGTAAGGCTTTACAATGAAATTTGACTTGGTTTCAGGTTGGTACCTTGACTAATGTGCATGACTATTGCTTTGGAGGTTTGGAGTTGGATGTTGCAAATTCATGTTATCATGTTTATGTTTTCATTTAGCAATTTAATAATATAATTGTATTTATTACAAACACGTTCTAAGTTTTTGTATTTATTACAAACTAATTTTCAAATTTTTTGTCATATTTATTTATTTATTGTAAAATTATAATTTTATTTATGTAAATTCAGCTATCAAACACAATAACACAATAACACCAAAAAAAGGATCTTATACTCACATATTATCCCCTACCCCAACATGGCCTACTATCATTTCTATGACTAATCAAAACGAATTATTAAAACATTTAAATAACAAATACAAAATAATTTTATTTTAACTTTATATTCCATTTATAAAAATAAATATGTAATAATAAATAAAACTTTAAGATTTAAGTATTAATAATATGAGATAGTTTTCCAGTATATTTATAGTGAAGGGCTATTTATTACTTCCTTCATCCACAAGAATTATCTATTGTTTCACATCTTTTACATTCATTTTTTTTATCTATTACTACAATGATTCAATTTATTTTATTAGAATTATCTATTACTTCAAATATCATTTTAGGATTTTTGAAAAAAAAAATTAAAAAAAAAAAGATTTAACTATTCAAATTGAACTTGATCATCACAATTGTCAAACTGGATCGAATATTATAGAGAAATACATAAATATTTGAACTAAATCTCTCAAAAATTTTATCTTATTGCTTTAGCTCTTAGACCCCTCTTAACAATAGATGGATTTGGTTCTTCCCATAGAACCTGCAGCAGACCAGCTCTTTTTTCCTGTACACACAAAAATAAAGTGAACTTAAAAATAAAAAAAATAAAAATCATGTGCATGGTGAAGCTATTCTAATTTGATTAATTTGAGGGCTAAAGCATGTTACTTCCTTTATTATGTTTCTTTCATTATTTATAACATAAATTCTGTTGAAATTTGCATATACCTTCACGAGTGAGATGATTTGAACCGAACGACCGGGTAATGCTTCACTATTCGAGCCTCTCTGAGTTAAACTGTTAAAACGATCATTTAACTCGGTGACCAACTTTGCCCTTTCTTCCAGACTCTCCAAGAAAGCTCCTTTTAACACTTCACCTTCTTCTTCAAGAGCTCTCAACCTTTCTTCAATGTTTTCGATTTCGGCTTTTCTTGAAGGCTCATTAGCATCTTCTTCATTGGCGGACGTATGATTTGAAGTCGAGGCCTTGGGCTCTAATAAGTGTTTCCTGCATGTCGAAGGACCGGCTTCGAGTAGATATCGCTTCTGGGGCATTTTTTAATTGTTTCCTCTTACTAAAAAGTTTTTTTTTTATTTTTTTTTTATTTTTTTATTTTTAGGACAGGCCCTTGAAGTTGTTTTATCTTCACAGTGAAGGAACAGAGCTCCTCATCAGTTAACATTGAAAGGTAATGTA